GGGGGGGGGGGGGGGGGGGGGGGGGGGGGGGGGGGGGGGGGGGGGGGGGGGGGGGAGGGGGGCGAGCGCCGCTGCCGCAAAGCCATTTAAAGTTCAGCCAGCCCTTGAGATGTTCGGGAGCCTTTACAAAGCGGCGTTTGCACGAACCTGTTGTTGGCGTTACGCGAGAAACCCGTGTCGCCGGTGCAGCGCAGCCCTGCCGCCCGTCTGGGAGCGGTCACGGGCGAAGGGGTTTTGGTTGTGTTTGTTCCGCGTGTCACTCCTCGTGGCGTGCGTGGCGTTAAAGGCGCGCTGCCAGATAGCGTACTATTGCTAAGAACAGAGGAGGTTTTAAAAATGGTTTTACCTAGCCTGGTATTATTTCAGTGGTAAAAAGCAGTCTTTCATAGTTTAGAATATGTGGAATGACAGTACTAAACCAGTTTTGATGTGTAACAACGTGGCTTACTTGTGCCGTCTTCAGCAGGAGGGTTTTTAATCTTTCTATTGATTTAAAGACCTGAGCTACATAATTATTTCCTGCAAAAATCACGGGGGCGGTAATTGCCCGGACCCTTCTTTTCCTGTTGTGCAGGGACCTGTTAATAGGATTCTTCTCTCAGAAAGAAAGGTCTCCTTAGCAGCATTTAATGTCAAGAATGAAGCAGTGTCAGGTAGAAACTGAATGTATTTCAATGAAGAAGTGCGTTCTAAAGAATTCCAAACTTGAACTCTAGAGCGTTCAGTGTTTTGCAAAATATTCATGAAGCGATGTGTTTAAAAGTAGAAACATCTCCAAATGGTATGCACTTAAGTGTGAAAATTAAGGAGAAAATGTTAAAACTTGAAAAACAATTTGAGTGTGCATTTAGAAAATAGAAATCTGGGTTGAATAAATAGGGGAGGCGAGAGAAAGAAAAGTATTTTCAAGCGTGGGTGGGAGGGAATCACATAAGATTTTCCAGCTGTTTACGAATGGCGAGAGAACATGCAAATGTATTTATTTATGAATTTGCCCGAGAGGATTTTTGTACGCTCTGATACTGTCTCTTGTTTGGCCTTACGCAGTGCTGAGGCGCAAGTCCAAACATGCGAAGGGCCAGATTCATACGAACAGGGCTATTCAAGCCTGCCGGGGGTCCCGCTGGCTGCCTGCGCAGTGCGGGGCGAACTATGGAAACCACACCTAAGCATCCAGGGGAAGAAACTCCAGCATGTGGGCTGAGAGGGGCTGGGGTGTGGGCTGCTGAGCTCCCCTGCCCGGGGAGTCCGGGCTAAGGGGGGAGCCCTGCGAGTGCGCCGGCCCTCAGCCCAGGCGCAGCCTCTCAATCTTCAGTTCTGGCTCAGAGTTGAAGGACGAGTGACAAGCTTTACGTGCTACCAGGTGCTTTCAATGGTAACACACTCGTTTCCTCGCTCCGACTTTGCCAGAGTTTTTCATCTGAGGATTTGCATTCCGGTTGTTTGCTTTGCCCAGAATTTTGGGAAAATGTGGACAAAATGAATCCTGTATTTCTAAGAACAAGCTTAGGGGGGAAAAAATGATGTCTTGCCTATTTTCAGTACTTCTGACCTGTCACTGAAATAACGTTGTTTCTCACGCTTTGGAGAAGGGAACTAAATTTTGTTTTGCATGAATTTGCATCAGGGATATGCTTTTTGTTGTTCCCTCTGAAAATCTTTCCCAGTCTGGCCAATTAATAAGTCTCTGAAAAATGCACGTGTTTTTTTTTTTTAAGTAACTTAAATGTCTGAAGAGTCTGTCCTCAACATACTGGAATCTCCAAGAGCTTCCAGTCGTGGCTGGGCTGACTCTATGCTAGTCCCAAAGCATAAATGAACATGCTGCCTTTGACCTGTGGCTTCAGATGGATTTGTAAAATAATTGAAGGGTGGGGCAGACACAGAAGTGGAATAGGAGTTCTGGGAGTGTTCTTTTAACGTAATTTTATGTCTGGAATTTTAATACAGAGTGAACAAAAAGCAAAGGGGAGAGGGCGAAAAAGAACTGATCATGGTTAGTTCCTCTTTGTTTATAATGTTTTCCTAATCTTAGTTATTAAAATGAAGTTTTAGTTTCTTTAGAAGTTATTTGCAAAGGAAAGACTGTGTTAGAAATATCATTGATGTCAAATCTGAATATATCTCGTAAACTTTATTCTTAGAAAAATTCCCTCTAACTTCTGTTACCTGGGGTTTCATCTTTTTGGTACTGTGATATCAGCTCACTGTTTGTGCAGGTATCTTGCAGAATGTTCTGGAGAGCCAGGTTTCCACTGCCTGTGCTGGAGGTGTTGGCCAAGTGCAAGGCAGTGCAGATTTCGGTGCCTTGAGCTGACTCCAGCAGCAGCGTGCTCCCAACCAAGGCGCTTTGCGTTCCCTGGCTACCACCCTGCTGCATTTCAGCAGAGCTTTTTGCTCTCTCTTTCAGTGTACCATTTGCACGGTCAAGCAAGAGAGGGCGAATGTAAACTTTCTTTAAACAAGGGATGTATTTGTCTCGAGTGTATGATTAATTGCTTTGGATATTTCCTGCCCATTTCTCTGGGTCTGATTTAGGTCTGATTCAAAACAGTAAAATCAATGTAAAGGTGCCGTTTACTTCAGTGGGCCTTGAAAAAACTTTCTAAAGGATAGCAACAGCACTTCACGTTGTTGTGTCAAATTTATGTGTATCTTTAAAAGTGAATAAATTTATTTAAATATTCTATAAGTAATCTGACAATCGCATTTTCTGGTGACCTGGAAGATCCTTCGCTATCGGGAGGATGATGAGTTTATGGCTGAAAGTGTTTTTAGTTTTTGGCGTTGAATAATGCTGGGTGCTCAGGTGTGAGAGTGAACTTCTGACAGCGTGACCTGGAAGTGAAATCAGTTACGCCAATACTGAGGATGATGCTCCTGCTGATTCAGGGGTTTTCCTGTTCCTGTGGTTGTACGATGCACATCAAGCCAGAATGGGGACCAGACACTTAGAAATCATGCCCAAGTAGGGTCCTGTGCATCATCGCAAGCGACACAGAATTTACATTTTTGCTCTGTGTGCATGCACGGGTGTAGACTATACGTCTCAGAATGCGATCTGTAATTTTTTCATATGCAAATTAACAGAATGCCTGTACTTGCTCTCATAGATACGCATCGTTCTATAAATACAAGCATGGCCTGCCTTCCTGTCAGAACGGTTTGGGGAGGTATTGGGTGCAGGGTAAAACACGTGCTGCTTGTGCCTCATGCCTGTACGTTAAGTGACCTGCATGCTGGCTGAGTGAGCTTGGGGATCCACCACGAGCCTTTTGCTAGCCCCAAAGACTTCTCGCATCTGACACCGAAAGCACTCACGGAATAACGCGGAATGACACAAGGTGGTCCAAGAATGAAGGTGGTCCAGGTACTGTATAGGAATGTGTAAAGTGTTTGAGCTTGGAAAATCTTCATACAACAAATGAAGTGCAGAAAATGTGCAAAGTGAATGAATGTAAATAATCAAATGAACTGGTCATAAGCAACTGTAAGTTAACAGACAATTTCAAAACATGGACTTGTCAGCAATGACAAGGTCAAATCAAAGTTAAGCCAACCAGATGCTTTCTCTCTCCTTCCTCTCTATTCTTTCCAGCTCACCCTCTGTTGACAGGCATTTTACTTGCCTTTTTTCCCCGTCTTCTGTGATGTGACCAGCTTCCATCAGCCCTCAGACATAAACAGTAACAGTCCTGAGGCTGCTTTAACCAGGCCTTTAAGTATCCTGGAGTGAAGTCTATCAGACTCGGACAATCTGAGGACCTGTAATTTATTCGGCTTTCTGAGCTGTACTTTCCCTGTTCCAGGGTGAGTTCTTACACTGTGGCGGTACTTTTTAGTAATGACCAGAACGACCAGCTTGTTTTTGGCCTTTTGAACAAAGACTTCAGCCTATCTAGCAAGAATGCTCTTCCTCCTCGCTGAGCCAAGAATACTTATACTTCCCTTGTTTTTATTAGTTTAATTTTATTTTGTATCTTGAACTTTCAGATTTTGTCCATTTCTCTTTTTGCCTGAACAATCCCTGTTTTCCTGCTGGCTCTTACTGTGTCTGCCTGCCCGTGCTGCAGCTCTTCCTTGTCACTCTCTCGCTTCCAAGCCCCAATCTCTTTGTCAAAACAAGTCCTGACTCCCCTAGTTTCCCACCTGATCTTTGTCTCCCTCTTTATCCTCCTCCAAATCAGCATTTCTGGGTTTTTTGGCGCCCACCCATTTCCTTTACTGGCTCCTATTTCAAGCCTCCCTGCTAGGACAACCTTGTCCATCGTCTTCCCTCTGGCCTGCTAGTCCGGCCTCAGCACACTTTTACTCTACTATATTCCACCTGATTCTAACTCTTCTCTGAATTTGGCGATTCCTTTGCTCCACCTGATTGTGATCCAAGCAGCACAGAAATGAGGG